CCTTGGCATGACTAATAATAACAAGGCTGTCAAATACTATGCATTCATGTGATTGCATCTTTCTGTATTTCAAGATCATGTGTAGATTTCACTTCTATCTCTTTGTACTCTTTGTACCACTTGCCACGATATCATCATTTGCACTTATTCAAACTGAGCATTCACAATATTTCATCAAAGTGATATTATAATACAATATGATAACGACTATTATTACCTGCATAAAGGGCAGATATAGATGGAAAAAAAAAATTACCCATGTGATTTTTAAACAAAACAAGTTATTCAGTGACATGTAAATGCTGATTACACATATTTAATATGTGAAATCTCTCTTTTGAGTTGGCAATTACATTTCTATATCCATGAGCCAAGGATATCTCTCATTAACAACATTGTATGCATAACTATGCTGATTTGCATACAACATATAATTGAAATAAAAATCTATTTTTCAAATATTGTTGAAATGTGATTAAAAAAAAAGATGCAAATTGTGACTTTGAGTTGGCTGAGAGTTTGCATTACTGTAAAATACTTTATTTTCGCTTGGAATTATTTTTTGCTATTTTCGCTGAAGGTATGATTCATTGAAAATAAAATCCAGCGAATATACCCCGGCACCTTTTTTCCTATATTTTACATTCAACTCGTTAAAATCAGTGAAAATAAATTCCATGCAAAATACCCAAAAAGTCTTTTCAGCGAAATTCTACAGTACCTGAATCTAGGGCACTTTATGAAAGAATTGAATCATGGTGACTAACAGTCAAATGTATATTAACATTCATAATCAATTTGTGCATGACACTGAACATTCACACAGGAGAGCTTTGTAGAATCTCTATTTATAAACGCCTTGCATATTACAGCTCATTCAAGCCTTGATTGTCTACATGCTTCAATAAACTACAAATTACAATATCTCTACCTGTACTATTTATCAAATTTCCGAAAGTGGAGGCAGGTACTGTTAGTAATAATACATCATCCTGTAACTCCAGACAGCATGCCTTTCATTTATTATTGTGTGATAGTAAGATGAAGATCTAAATCGTAACCATGGCAGCCGAATAACACATGATGATGAGAATATTACCAAGATTTATGGACAGACCCAAGATTACAATCATATATTATGACATGCTCCACATTTTCTCACTGACCGTATATTTCATTGTGTATATCTTTTGTCTATTTTGCTTAGCTGATTATGAATGATTATTTTGATTACATTTTTAGTCCCTATTCGGACTCAGTCCGAAAACAAGGACTTATGTTTTGACCCTTGTGCGTCTGTGCATCCGGACCTGTATCTTAGAATTGCCTGGACAAATCATAATCAAACTTAACACATACATCATACATGATATTATACATATGCACATCAATTTGTTTAATGATCTGATGCAAGATGGTCGAATGGCGGCCATTTTTGTGCTAAAAAATTCATCATAATCAAGCATTTCTCGGCTGTTTACAGATGGATTTTGTTCAAACTTGGTGTATACATTAGTCATTTTGTTTTTCAGATCGGATTCAAAATGGCTGACTGGCAGCCATTTTGTTTTAATGAATGGGCTTCTAGACCCATACATGTATCTCTGACTTAGTTTGACTGATTATGTTCAAATTGTTAATATTCATTATACATCATATCTTTGACTTGCTTTGACTGATTTTGTTCAAATTTTTAATATTCATTATACATCATGTCATATATATACAGATCATTGGTTTGACAATCCTATTCAAAATGGCCAAATGGTGGCCATTTTTGTGCTAAAAAAATCATCAAATATCAAGCATTTTTGGCATTTATGGATGGATTTCGTTCAAACTTGGTACATACATTAGACATTACGGGTTCCTGATGCACGTCATTTTATTTTTCTTATCGGATTCAAAATGGCTGACTGGCGGCCATTTTGTTTTAATGAATGGGCTTCTAGACCCATACATGTATTTCTGACTTAGTTTGACTGATTATTTTCAAATTTTTAATATTCATTATACATCATGTCATAGATTTACAGATATACTGATTTGACAATCATATTCAAAATAGCTGAATGATGGCCATTTTGTTTTAATGAATGGGCTTCTAGAGCCATATCTCTGACATGCTTTGACTGATTATGTTCAAATTTTATATATTCGTTATACATCATGTTATACATATATACATGTATTCAAAATGGCTGATTTTGTTTTAATTAATGCTGTTCCAGAGCAATATCTCCCAATATGGACAAGTACTTGTTTGACGATCAGATAAAAATGCCAATCATTTTAATGTTAAACAATCATCATAATCATATTCCTGACATGGTTATATTCCAGCTATATTACTATAAACAAAACTATATATCTTAAATTTGATAACTAACAGGGACTGTGCCATGCATGGCTTGTTTTTAATTTTGCAGTATACACCTTATCATAAAATTCTTAAGTTTAGATATGAAAACCATACATAGTAAAATAACATAACATGTTTACTCCAGGTGTTTCTGTTCTTCTCTTTCTAGATCCAGTCCTGTTTATTTAGAATGGTTAGAGTATTTTTCTTGGTATAAATATGCGTTTGAAGCTCTAAGTATTAACCAATGGAAAGATCTTGATGCTAAAGGTACACACTTAGCTACTGTAAACACATTAATTATTCACTGGGCTTTAATTTTGCTTTTTTCACTAATGGGTAAAATTCGCTAAATTAATTCTACGTGAACATGTAGAATAACAATAAAACGCATTGTTTCTTTGACAAATTTGTGAAATTAAAACACAGTGAATATGCTCAAAACATCAAAAGAGTGAAATTAAATGTCAGTGAAAATAAATGGTGTAACTAACTTTTCAACAACTTCACATGTCCTTACCTGATTTTTGGTAGAGTGGTATATTTCTGTGTCTCCCAATCATCAATGGCAATTATGGGTTTGACGGATGATGGATCTCTGCACACTCACAAATGTGAAGCCCCGTCTTGTCTGCTGTCAATGTGCAATGCAATGAGTAGAATTCCCGCAAGGTTAACTGAAATCTTCTCTAATGAATCCTATAAATTGGATTTCTTCTTTTTGGTCTGCCAATAAATAAATAAATTATTAAATCTTTCAATTTGTCAGTCAAAACAGGTATCACTATGTGTCAATGTTTTTCACTTTAAGTGGCTATTTTGTTTTTAACAATGTTCCATAACCATATCTCATAATATTTTTTTTTCAATTACATTCAAACTTCAAACATGATATTTCATGTTACACATACATGTATGTATGTAGATTCATCGTGATTTATTTCAAGACAGACATTCCAAATAATGTTTTCATACCTTGCATCATCAGGGTTTTTTTATAGAAAAAAACTGCAAGAGGGAGCAGTGCAATTCAGCGATACCACCAAGCGGGGGAGATAGGGTTCTCCTTACCAGGGTGTGGAGTTTTTGATAATTCTAAGTTAAAATGGTGCATTCTATGGCTTCCTTGGGGCCAAAATTACTATCAGACAGGTCACAGTTGAAGACAGTGGCCAAATGTGATCCCTGGTCAATCAGAAATTTATGGTTGCCAGAGGATCTGCTCCCTAGGGTAAGGAGGCGCATGACCATGACATGAGGGCGCTGTTTCCTTTATTCCCTGGCTA